GACGCTGGGAGTGGAGGACAAGGGAGGACTTGATAAATTGCCATTTCTGTTCATTCCCTCTGATGCATCTGGCACCGGCCATTGTTGGAAGGCAGGGTACTAGGCCAGATGGACCATTGGCCTGACCCAGTGTGGCCGTTCTTGTGTCATCTTGTGTTAGCTAGTCATCTGTATCCATAGCTTCTGAACTATCAAATTGCAGGCGCATGTTAGTGGATCTAGAAAACAGTCCCTAAAAGTTTATTCATAACTCTTCATCAGAACGTTGGTTTAGAAGTGGAGTGGGGAACCTCAGGCCCCAAAGGCCAGATGCGGCCCCCCAGCTTGCCTGGATCCGGCCCCTGAAGCTTAGGGTCCCTCCCACAGTGCTGGTGCTCCAGCCCTCCTCCTTCCCCACACTGCCTCCCCATGGGGGTGAAGCACACAAAATCTACTAGCTTGGGCCCCAGTAGGCTCTGGGGTGCAAGGGGAGTGCGGGGGTCAGGGGGCCACATCAGTCAGGGGTCTTTTTTTCCTGCTTTTCACTTGTGTGCGTCCCTCGACTGATTTTTCTGCGGGTCAGTGACCCCCGGTTCCCTGCCCCCGGTTTAGAACTTCGTAGGCATAATGGAGAGATTTCTGTAAATGTCTCATGAGAGCACCCAGCATTGATAAAACAATGCGCCACATAGAGTGCCTTCATGTTTCGGTGAACATGGCTTCTTCTTTCTTGGGGTAAACCTTGACCTGATAAGTCATTCAGTCACGCCACTCTACAGGCATCGTTGTCTGCTCGTGCATCCCTAACATCGATCAGGATCATGCCCGACAGTGTGTCTCCGATTGTTTTCCATGCTTGTTTTCTCTCTAAATACAATTACTTTACTCAGTTTTCAGGCGATTTGCTGGAATGAAGTCATGTTCTGAGGATTATCTTGAACATCTTGAACAGTTGGACTCACGGACAGACAGACACGCAAACTCTCTAAAATATATATATAGGCTGCCAGAAGTGTGCGCAGTGGTTCACAGACAAAATCTGAGGTCCATGCTCCTCCTTCCTCCTCAGGAAGGTTGTTCCTCTTTGTTCTGCTACGGCTTTTGTAGGTCAGGGACTCTTTGCGTGGCATTATTGCATAAATAAGCAATGTCTCTTCCTATAGGCTCCACCCACTGCTCATTGTCGGCTGGCACTCGCCCACGTCTCTGCTTCCACTCCATTTTGAATGGCATAACCCACTCTACTTCACTAACCCTCAAGGGCAGTATCTCTCGCCATCTCTGTTCCATATAGGCTGAACTTATCTCCATCCCCGTCACTATTTGATTGCAGTCGGGGCTCCTTCTCTGACACACACAGGGAGACGCGGCATGAATGAGAAGGCGCCATTTTTGCTAGGGCTGTCGATTAATCACAGTTAATTCACACACAAGTCAAAAAGTTAATCGCAATTTTAAAAAATAATAGTTTTCATCACAGAGCTAAACCATAGAATAATGTAGATGGCTCCTTTTTGTGCAAATCCCCCTCTCATGCGCAAGAGCTGTTTTTCCTCATTTTTTCAGGAAGAATGTCTCTTGCACAAGAGGGGGGGTTTGTGCAAAAAGGACCTGTCTACACAGCTCCTTTTTGTGCAAAAGCCTCTTGCGCAGAAACGGCTGGTAATGAATTATGCAAATGAAGCGTGGTGATATTCCACACCGCACTTCATTTACATAAGCTTTTCCGGAAGAAGGCAACAGTGTAGACGTAGCCCCCCTGTTTACTTCTTTTTCCAGATCATTTATAAATAGGTTGAATAGGATTGGTCCCAGTATGGACACTTAGGGGACACCACTACTTACCTCTCTCCATTTGGAAAACTGACCATTTATTCCTACCTTTTGTTTCCTGTCTTTTAACCAGTTATCAGTCCATGAGAGGACCTTCCCTCTTACCCCATGATAACTTACTTTTACTTAAGAGCCTTTGGTGAGGGACCTTGCCAAAGGCTTTCTGAACATGGCTTTTCATGGGCACATGTCCTCTAGAATGGTGGTTGAAGTGTAAAGGAACATACACATTTTTAGTGCATCTGGCATGTAATTATTTGGGATGCTAGCTACAACGTCATGCAAACACCTGTTTTCCCTTTCAAGTGACATTGTAAACAAGAAGCGGGCAGCATTATTTCCTGCAAATGTAAACAAACTTGTTTGTCTGAGTGATTGATTGACTGAACAAGAAATAGGACTGAGTGGACTTGTAGGCTCTAAAGTTTTACCTTGATTTATTTTTAAAGGCTGTTATTTTTTGTACACAATTTTACATTTTTGTACACAATTCTGAATTCAACTTTAATGAAAAAGCGCTTGCACGACTGTATATGTAATGGGGGAACTGAAAAATACTGTTTCTTTTGTTTTTTAAAGTATAATAAAAATATAGTACACTGTATTCTGTTGCAATTGAAATAAAAATATTTGAAAAGGATAGAAGACATCCAAAATATTTAAATAAATTGTATTCTGTTATTGTTTAACAGTGCAATTAATCACATGATTCATTACCATTCATTTTTTTTAATTGCTTGACAGCCCTAAGTTTTACACAGTTACTTTCCACTTTGGCTGCACTGGAAAGAGCTCTCCACTGCACTTCAAACTAGCAAAACAAAAGGCCTCTCAAGAGGGCAGAAATAACCACAGAGAGCACCCTTATGGTAGAGGTGCTGGAGCAGCCCTGTCCTGCTGTTTCCAGTTTCTTGAAGATATGCTGGGTACAGGGCCAGATTCAGACATGCTGAGGGCCTAAGCCAGGGGTGGGGAACCTAAGGCCCGGGGGCTGAATACAGCCCCCAGCTTTTCTGAACCTGGCCCCTGAGGCTTGGGGCTCCCCCACCCCAAGCATTGGGGAGCTTGTGCTGTCACTCCAGTACCCCTACCATCTCCTTGTGGGGTTGGAGCACACAAAATCTGTTAGCTGCCCCTCCCCCCCCAGGTTCTGGTGAATGAGGGGAACGTGGGGAGTATCTTTCTCCTTCTAGTCAGGGACCACGTCAGTGGGGTGTGTGTGTGTGTTTGTTGGTTTGGAGGGGGAGGGGTTATTCTCATTTGTGTGCAGCCCCCGACTGATTTTTCTGTGGGTCAGCCCCGAACCAAAAAAGGTTCCCCACCCCTGCAGCTATGTCAGGTTTGAGGCCCCGTAGCATTACCGACAATGTGTATTAGTCTAACAGAAAGGTCAATAAAACAGAAATAATAAAGGTGGGTTTTTTTGTAGCTGCACCTTTACACAGATGAGGAGGCCACCAAACACTAGTCTTTTTTTCTGTATTTAGAGGCCCCTCATAATCAGAAGCCCTGACCTGTATCTTACTGAGCTTGTGCATAATCCAGCACTGGTTGGGATAGGTCCAGAGCCACCTTTGTCCTTCTCCTGCCGCTCCCTTTCCTGCGCGCTGCCCAGGGATGGCTCAGTTGTGAATCCAGGCCAGCTTTGGACTGTCAGAAACACAAGGGCAGCAGTGATTTATGCAGTGAAAAACAAGGGGAGCTGTGTGGATACTGCGGGTTGCTGCTGTGAGGGGTGGGGTGGTGGTGAGAGAGCGTGTTCTTTTTTCTCTGCAGAGCCCCACCAACACTTCAGAATGAATGGCGAGGAGCATCCTTGAGTAGCGAATTCACAGAGCTTGTCTAACAACATTGCTTGGTTACACGATTGCGAAGTTTAGACGTTCCATCGCGAGGGTGCAGTTTCTGTAACTGCAATTGCATTGTTTCTGTTAGCCTATAAGAAACGCCCGACTATGACATTTTAAAAAAGAAGAAGCTATGTTTAGTGATTGCTTAAACTTGCTTATTTGTCTGGTGTGATTGTAAGCAATCCCAATTAGTAAAATCAAATACGATTCCCTCCCCCACAAGCACGTTCCTGTGAAATTTCATAGGTAAACTTCTTTGAAATTGGCAGTTCACTGTAAAGGGCTGTCCTTTAAGCCAGCTGTGTAGCCACTGAAGGATAATTGTCTTGTCCATTTACTAAATCACGTGCAGATTTTTAAAGTAAAATCATGTAACTAGCCTACAGAGTATGTGTGCGACATCTCTGAAGCAAAGCCAGCAAATAAATAACTTTGAAATCCACAAATGAAACATCCCATAATTGTCTTGTAATGTGATCTGGTCCATAATCTGAAACTTCTAGGCTACGTCTACACTGGCATGATTTTCCGGAAATGCTTTTAACGGAAAAGTTTTCCGTTAAAAGCATTTTCAGAAAAGCACGTCTAGATTGGCAGGACACTTTTCCGGAAAAGCACTTTTTGCGGAAAAGCGTCCGTGGCCAATCTAGACGCGCTTTTCCGCAAAAAAGCCCCGGTCGCCTTTTTCACGATCGGGGCTTTTTTGCAGAAAACACTACTATGGTGTCTACACTGGCCCTTTTGCGCAAAAGTCTTTCGGGAAAAGGCTTTTGCCTGAATGGGAGCAGCATAGTTTTTCTGGAAAAGCACTGATGATTTTACAGTAGATCGTCAGTGCTTTTTCGGAAATTCAAGTGGCCAGTGTAGACAGCTGGCAAGTTTTTCCGGAAAAGCGGCTGATTTTCCGGAAAAACTTGCCAGTCTAGACACAGCCCTAGTGTTGTGCTGGTTGGTTTGGAGGGTTTATGTTTTAGGGGTTGGTTGGTTGCACACACACAAACTTGTTGTTTCAATAGTGAGCTTATCAGCACAGGTTGTTTTTTTCTGCCCTTGGGAAGGACAGTTTGCTCTTGGTGAGAAGCAGTGACCTGACTTAGGAAAGCACTCCTCTTCAGAGAAACTCCTAAGTATGAGCTTAACTTTAAGCATGTGCTTACGTCCTGTTTGAAGTCAAAATGGGGCTCAAGTACCCATTTAAAGCTAAGCCCACACCTACGCATGTCCCAGAATAGAGTCCCTGGTGAACAGAGGGGAAAGAATGTATGCTACACATTAGTCAAAGCACTCCAATTTACATCAATATTCATTTGTTTTCCATTATATATCATTTTTATGCAGGTGCTTGTGGGATGGATAGACGTCAGAACACATACATAATGGAAAAAAGCTTCAAAGGTATAGTATCGAATGCTGCAGTGACTCTAGCAAGGAGTTTGACAGGAGGGGAATGGTAGATGAGGTGAGATAGGAACCCTGAACACCCAAAAGATGGTTGCATATGAAAAGAAAGCAACAGAATGATGCTGTACAAAATATACCTGCGTGGCTCAGCTGGTGGCCCTCTTGACTCTGAGCCAGAAGTGTATGACCCGTGAGGTCAGAGGCTAATACCTCAAGCTGATGCTGCAGTGTAATACTAGCAGCGATGCGGCACTGCCATCGGTACTGTCATTTGGAGGAGTTGTGTCTAGCCAGGTGGAAGTTAAAGGTCCTTTAGCACAGCTGAAGACCCTAAGGGTGCATCTACGCTGCACCGTTTTTCCGGAAAAACAATACTAGTGTCCACACTGCAATTGCATCATTTCGAAAGAAAGTTGAAATAACGGAGGGCTTTTTCTGACGTTGTAAACCTCATTCCATGAGGAATAAGCCCTTTTCCAAAAAAGTTGTTTCGGAAGGGACGCTCCACTGCTGCTATGTCGAAATAGCTCCTCACCCAGGGCAGTTCTAAAGTTATTCCTCCCCAGTGCCTCCTGGGGCTCTAAGTTGAGCTAGCACATCCACATTAGGGGAGCCGGCCCGGACTAATTTTGAGGCTTCCCTGTAGTGTGGTCACTGTTTTGAAAGAACCTTGCAGTGTAGACATACCCCAAGTCTGTATTCCTACCAAGACTTTGTAGCACAATTGCTGAACATGTATTCGCTGGTCCCTATGCCCACTAAGTCTCTACGGTCACTGAATGTATTGCATGGTAAAGCTCTTCAGGAGACCTTCTGCTTGTATAAAACAAACTGCCTTCTGTGTGAGCAGCGTGCACTACACAAAGAGAATTCAGGCAACAGGCTGGAATTAGGTCACTGCTGGGGATGAAATGGCTTCCTCTTTCACGCTGAGTCATTGTAATCAGTCACTGCAGTGGTTAAATAATTAAACAGCCCCGGAGCTGAGTGCACAGCTCAGAAAGGTGGAGCACACACTCCGGACCTGCCTGAGCACGGCTCAGACCCAAGCCCAGCGTTCCTTATCATTCAGGAAGCCCTGGGCTGCTTCATTGCTCATGTGCCGGAGGGCATTCCGGTTCTGGAGGCGAGAACTCCACACACAGCGAGCCCTGACTCCAACCCTTCTCCAGTCAAGACTCGCCTTGACTGCTGTGAGCCTTTGGGACAGTAAGAATGGCGGGGTTGGTGCAGAAAGTGAAACCAGGAGGATTCAGTATCCCTCTGAAATACGCAGGTTTATCAGGCCAGAATTTCAGCGGGCATGACGCTACCACCGTTTGCACCATCTGAGAATGCGGGGAACTAACTATTGGACGGTCTCCTTCAACAATATTCTTTTGGAGTTTTTATCCTGCAACCCTTACTTGTACAAGCTGTCGTCACACCACGCCAAATGGGACTGCCTACGTGAGTCAGGGTTGCAGGCTCCGGCCCTTTAATTAAATTGATAGATGACCCATGAGTGAGAAACATGCATAAGGCAATGATCAGCTCAGCAAAGTGGATTATGAGCCCTCAGGCAGGTCTAGAGAATGAAAATATTGTTTGTTTTATAAAAATAACTAATATAATATGTAGGAAAAGATTGATTTCTGCCATTGTCTTAAGTGAGAATAGTTAGTAGTTTCATGGAACCCCATTAGACATGATCTGTCAAAATACTAAGAGAAAAAATGTTAGTTTTCTTCTTGTTTTTTCTTATTACGTTGACTGGTAATGCTGCCAGTGACTTGACTGATCTCCCTATTCAGTTAAAGCCCTTTATTTTCTAAAGAAAGAAAATCTACTGTACAATAATTAAAATCAGTCTCTCTTTATTTTTATGGAGTGACAGTAAGGATGGAAACATGCTGTCTGAATTTGCACCCACACAAGTCATAGCTGGTCTGGAGAAGACGTGGAGGAAAGTTGTGTATATGCTCAAAAGCTTGTCCCTTTCATCTCACCCACCTTGTTATCTCACACACCTCGTCTCTGCCAGAATTTTATTTTTTTTATATAATTTCAGTGGATAGTAATGATGCTCATTTTCAAGCTTTTTTCTGGATTTAATTTTTCATAATTACGGGCGGCCAGGCAACATGTACTTAATGACAGGAGAAACTGAGGCTATGTCTACACTGTGGGTTTTTTGCGGAAGAGGAAATGCAAATGGAGCACTCATTTGCATATCTCCCGGGCTCATTTATATATCTTCTTCTGATCTGTTTTGCGGAAGAGGTTTTTGCAATAAAAAGCCCTGTGTAGATGGAGCCATTTGTCAGCAAAAACCCCTTTTGCGCAAGAGCCTATAAACTCATTTTTTTGAGGAATACGGGATCTTGTGCAAAAGGTTTTTTTTCCGACAAATGGCCCTGTCTACACAGGGCTTTTTATTGCAAAAACCTCTTCCGCAAAACAGATCAGAAGAAGATATATAAATGAGCCCGGAAGATATGCAAATGAGTGCTCCATTTGCATTTCCTCTTCCGCAAAACCCCCGCAGTGTAGACATAGCCTGAGATTCGACCAGTTAAAGCTTTAAAGCACAAATTGTCAATATCCCATCTCAAAAAAGTCCTTAAATCGAACTGAATAGTTAAAGCTTTAAAGCACAAATTGTCGATATCCCATCTCAAAAAAGTCCTTAAATCGAACTTTAATCAATTCTAAAGCAGCCGCCGTCTTACTTTGCCTAGCGACAACATTGATGCAAATATTTTTTCCTTGGTTTGTGTCTTGTCTTTATGGTGAAATTAACATTTGCTGTTAAAAATGAAATCTTTCTAAGCCCCTTCCTAATATGTATAGACAGAGAGATACATGTATGTGACTACATAGGTAAAGAAACGCAGCCACAGTGGGCTCTGGATGGTTATCCCCAGTGTTATGTATTTCATTATTTATTTAGGATTCTAGCCTTTTTTCTCTACATGGTTTGTTCACTTTGCTTGGTGCTGTTCATAATTCACACCCGCAAGTGGTCCAGTCCACTAAAAACTCTGTTACTGCCAAGAAAAGTAAAAGTCTTTGTTAGTTGCTTGCTCGCACTATAAAGAGACACAACTGATGCTTACAGACGGATTGGCGCCGACCTTGTTACGTGATGAGCTGGGTGCCAGATTTTTCAAAGGTATTGAAGTGTTTGCAGATGCAGGTTAGCACCACATGGATTTTTCAAAAGGGGGGTGTGATGTGTTTTCACAAGAACACTGCCCGTGCGAAAAAACAGCACCAGGGGCTGTGCTGTACTCGAGTGGGTGTTGTATAAGAGTGCCCTGTTTTATTGTTTGTGTGCAGGCCCTCTTCTTAGATTAGCCGCAAGCCAGGTCTACTCTAAAGGGGAAGTTCAAATTAAGAGACACAACTGCAGCTATGTTAATTACAGAGCTGGAATCAACATACCTTAATTTGAGTTTCCTTACCGTCCTCACGGTGGGATGCCGACGAGAACAAATGCTTCTGTCGGCTTCCCTTACTCACAGGAGCAGGAGTTCTGACCACTGACAAGGGCACCCTCTGAGTTCGATTTAGTGGGTCTGTACTAGACCCGCTAAATCAAACTCCAGAAGATTGTTCGCAGCAACATCGATCTTCCCCCATGGGAAGACATTGCCTCAGTGCTGTGTCACAAGACATCAACCTGGTAATGATGTTTTCCCTGGAACACTTTCAGTAATTGCATAGGGTTCATTTGATTCATCCATCAAGTATTGGGAGTAACGGGCTTTCTGCAGTGACCAGGCATTTAAATAACAGAAATGTATGCATCCCACTGAGAGTGCAGTCTGATTTCTGGGGTGATGGGCCCCAGATGGGTGGAAGGGTGGTGCATAAGATGGGAAAGGGAGGGGAAGGAAGAACTACAGGACTGTAAGCAATACTCGGCAGTTGCTTTTAATCCAGGAAGTGCTTTTAGTGGCAGACAGCATGTGACACATCGGGTGTGTTCAATTCTGCGCGGGGGCAGGTTCTACTTGTTCTACTGAACTGTACAAAACTCTCACCATCTTCTGCCTGGAGAGAGGGAGCAAGCCTGCAAAGCTGAGTCACTCGGATAAGACCATCCCAGTTCTAGGACAGTTAGAGTCACACAGAGAAAAACTTTTTTGCATTTCTGTACCTAGACATGTTTAGACACGCTGCTGCAGCAAGGATTCACCTGGCGGTGGAAATCAAACCCAGAGAGGAAATGCAAAGAAACATTGACACAAAATGCTAGCATCTGGTCCTGCCGACCCTACTCACGCCAAGTCTTCCACCAATGGGATGACTAACCCGGGCAGGGTTCAGAATATCAAGCCACTAACCCCTGTCTTTCTAAATAAGGAACGTAACGTTCTTTTTGTTATTGTCTGTGTGAGAGCAGCAGCTAGAGGTCCCCGTCTCAGGCAGGACCCAGTGGTGCTGACAGCAATACAGACACGCTGCCTGAACAAGGGTGCCATTTTCGGAGAGCCAGGAGTGAAGGGGGGAGCAGCCATGTGTTCCAGGAGGCGGCTTGTGTTTCTTCCTGTTCCTCTGACTCTCAGGGAGCGAGAGGAAACTACACAGCTTGTGCGCATGCCTCTCGCGCCTGGCTGGTGAGGGGAGGAACAGAGAATTAATTCACGAAAACTGTGTTGTTTCCCCTCACTCCCTGATAGGGGACCGGGAAGAACAGCAAGCAGCTTCCCAGTATGCCCGGCTGCTGCCCACCCTGCCCTCCCGAAATGGTGCCTTTGACCCTTTAAGCAGGCAGAGAGAGGAAGTGGCGTACTTGAGGTGGATGGATTGCTCCCTGGTACAGACGAGAAGGGTCTGGACTCCCGAGGCAGGCCCTCTCCACTAGACCCCGCTTGTCTCCTCGCTTAGCGCTGCCTTTGTCCGCCTCAGTCGCTTCGAAACAGAGAAAGCCGCTTTGCCTTTTTCAACGATTCTTCATTCCCAGCGGGTGAGTTCAGAGAGTCACACACGGCCCGGCAGCACCGAGC